TCTAATCATCATTTGACACTGCTTGAATTGCCTTTTAAGCCACATGCTTTTCAAAATCCTGCAGAAATTATTGCTGTTGACCACAAACTGTATCTTTCCATACTAGTGCTTCAAACACTCTGACAGCTAAACTGTGAAAGAATAAAAGCACTAATGGATTTGTCTGACTATATTATTCCTTGTATTTTAACCTTTACTTGGTCTCCTTCACAGGTTCTGCTCAGTTACTTTCACTAGTGGCTTTCAGAGATACTGAGGGTTTATTTTACAGTTTATAATGCACCTGTATAAGCAAGTATTAGAGGTCACTGAAAACTTATTGATCTAGGAAACATAGCCACAATAATTCAGAGAATATCAAAATATCCACTGCTATTCACTTTTCCTTAACTCAGAATGGAGCAGACATTCTATAAGAACCAATTTCTTCCCCTAATGATCCATAATTTTGCATTAAAGAGTCAACACTTCTAAGAAATCAGAAGGAAACAGAAGGTTACAACTGTCTGAAGAAGACCCAACATTCCACCCCCAAAAACGCAATAGCAGACACTGGGGAAGTGATTGTTATATTAAGAACAAATTATCATGTAATGATTTTAATTAATAAAACTAAAATCAAGTGATTATCTATTTGCATGCAGAACAATGCCAAGATCTTTCTTGTAAGCTGTGGAGCTTCTTCTATTAATATTGTAATGAGGTTCACATTATATAATAGTATCAACAAGGCAGAAGCAGCACTGCGTAGATTACTAATTTAAGCAAAGTGCAGGTCTCTCAAGAAGACCTTGTTAAGAATGACCTACCCAAAAAAATGTAGAAAATTCACATTGGAAAGAGACCTATTTAGCAAGATCTTAATATGGAAATAAATTGAAAATGACCTTAAAGTCACCTGGAGAGCACCTTGCTAGGACTAAGAGCATCATAGGTACACTGGGGTTTACAAAAATATGGAAGAAGACTTCTCAGCAGAAACCCAAACACTGCATGTGCTAAAACACAGCTACTCCAGCAGATCAGATAGACAGAGCCATGGGAGTCAACTGGACATAAAAGAAAATGGAGAGGAATGGCAGAACCAAGTTTTAGCCTCATTAGAAGAGCACAGGAAGAGGCAACCTTCCCATGGTTACCAAAAGAAAGAAACACTACTTTCTGGGAGCTTCAGGGTGCAAAGAGCCATTCAAACACACACACAGAGGCCCTATAACCCAGTGTATGGAACAGCCCTGGTAATCATGGCTGTGTGTCCCACTCACAACTGCACCAATTTCACTGTGATCAGCACCTGTAATCTGGGTCATGCAAGGATGAAGCAGTAAACAAGCTGCCAACATTGATATAATTGCAACAGACAGATTTTTGAAAGGTAGAAAAATACCTAATGGACATGCTTCCTTTGAAAATTTCCCCTGTGTAGGTGGAAGATGGAAAGGGCTTTCTATACAGATATGACATGTGCTTCCCACTCTCCTAGCAGCTTATCAGTTCACCTCAGAAACATTTTTATTACAGATTTATTTTCCTTAGTTCCTACTTTTCCCTGTGAACAGAACTTCGTTTGAGGAGGTTCTCTTCTTCTCAGCAGGAGACAGAATTATTGTATGTCATATGCCCTGTTTGGCCTTTGGCTAACAAGCACCTTGTTAGGCATTTATTTACCAAGTATTATAGCACCTAATACCAAAAAAAAAGAGGGGATTATTTTTCTGTATACATTCTCAGGACTTCTCTAGAGAAAGAAGAACCCTGCAACTATAGAATGGGTGGGCAGTAAATGATCCCTACCAGAAAGTAGCCACAATATAATCTTGTATTTCAGATAAACCATTGACAGCAACATAACTCACATGCTGAAGCCAGATTTGAATGCCAAATTTACAGGAATTTCAGCAGAACAGACTAGGATAAACCTGCCCTCAGAGTACAATCCTCACTCAGATTTGTCAGTAGTCACTTTTGTGATTTGAAAATCTTTACATATCAGAAAAGCAATGTGCTACTTTTGGATCTAAGAGGTATTTTGTTCCCTTCAATGCATATACTAATTGTCTGTCCTGTTAGCATTAAAAGAAGGTATGATTGGCACTGAGGCGTGACCAGACTTCTTGGATTTACTGTCTGGGAAGAAAAGCTCACTAGGTTCATAAATCTAATATATACTTTTCATAATAAAACCTAGAGCAGCAATAATTGCAATAAAGTTTTACAAGATGTCCTGAGAGGAATAAAATGTTCATTATTCTCTGCACCACAGCTAAATAAAGCAAAATTAGTTTTTTCTTTAAAAGCCCATAAGGAATTAAAATTAACAGACTTTGTAAAGAATGCAAAAAGACTTTTGGCAGACCCTAACTATTGGTTGCTTTGATTTTAGTGACCTTGCTCATCTTATCTTTCTAAACAGACATTTTAAACCAGAAAGTTTCAAATGCTCAGACAGTGTAAAGACTGCTTTGTGCGCAAGACTTATGAAGAGCAAACTTCTTGTAAACTGAATGACTTTCTGTGAGTTGTTCTAGGGTACTTTTCCCATGTTAATCCTCATTCCCCATTACACAAATCTGACCACTAAGCTCAGTACCCATGTGAATTCAGTGGCAGAGATGAAGGGCCAGGATTTCAGGCTTCCAAACAGCCTACAGACATAAACCAAAGGTAGGCACAATTGCAAGATGTCTGCAGTTGAGGATTTCCACAAGCTGATAGCTCCCTCCGAGCCCTTCTGGTGCCTCTTTAAGCCTTAACTTCGATTATGCCTTCAGAATATATTAAAAACTAACAGCAGGAAGAGACACAAAACTACCCAGCCTTATGCAATTACTGTTCACAGTGATCAAACAACCTTGGCAAGAAGCTGGTGCTCAGCAAGGCAGCTGGAATACACTAAATCTCCCCCACATTAAATAAGGCACAGGGAACTCTTCCAACACTTAGCAGTAACATATTGCTATATACTTTATGAAGTGAAACAAAGCAACTGAAGTCAAACTTTCCAAAATATGGTAACACAAAGAGGGGAATGCTTAGACAATCAGAGTAAATCAAAGTATAAACATTCATACAGTGCTATACCAGTCACAGACACTCTATCTCTCTAACTCTTATAGTTTTCACTCTTCTGTCCTAGCTGCCATCCAATTCCTAGGTTATAGACCATCTAGAGAAGAAGCAAATAATTATCTGACAAGTATTATATGCTGTCTCTCAAACACAAGTGTTTTGGGTGGCTCTCTACCATAACAGCCTTACACTCACCAAAAGTTATAAAAGGCCTGAGTTTGAAATAAGTATCAAGCTTTTTATTATTTTACATCTATAATTAGTTTTAAAATATTCCTGTACTCATGAATGATCTGATGCAAATCTTAGTACTTTTAGCTTTTCTGCAAATGGCTGAACTGTAGCCTCAGGCAAATACTCAGATATCTAAAGCAGGGCTGCAAACATTTGCATACACAAACAAAAACCACAAAAAATTCTCCAAAAAAGAGGGAAAAAAAAGACTGTCTTGAAAATTCTCAGTAGGTTCATAGGACCCAGCTTGCTCTGGTTTTCTTCTTCAGCCATTCTTTCACTGACTTTCCCCATATCTTCTCTGCAGGCAGTCCTTAGGGACAACTCTTGTTCCTCTTCACTTCTCCCTTTTCAGCCTGTCTTTTGGCAGCTTGTCTGCAAACAATTTTGACTACTGTCTCTGCTCATAGCTCAAAAGACCACCTTTATTCCCAGACCCATCTTCTCCTGCCCACACTGAAATCTGAGCCTCTTATAGCTCCTCACATCAATTTCAGAGATAAGAGCATTTTTCTCCCTGTGGAACCTCATTTCTCTACCCTTATGGACTTGCCACTTGTTCTCACATCCTAGACTTCATATTTTGTTTGCTTCTCTTCCTAGTTTTCTCACCTAAGTGATTTCAAGACCACATGTACACAATGTGATGAAGGCAGTGCTGTGCTAATTCTGCTTTTCATTTCAGCAGCAGAAATCTGATCCATCTCTTGACTCAAATTTATATGTTGCTCCATAATAACAGGGCTAATTTTGTGAATCCAAGCATTCATAAGACAGCTTTTTTACCCTTTCCACACATCTGTGGAAAGGTTAAAAAATTACAGTGAAGATGTGCACTGTAACATATCCTCATCAGCATTTTTTTTTTCCATCTTCACAGTACATCCTGCAGTAAGTAAGGAGTGAAAAATGACAAGTCCCCTTCTGCACGGTTTTGCAGCTATAATGATGAAAGAAATGTTTGCAAGGACAAAATAAAATTCTATTAAGTAATTTGGTATAGTAAGAAAAAAAATAGTCATACTTTTGGGTCCAATATCCTTTCATCAGGTATAAAAGTCTGAATAGACACTGCAGACCAGTGCTCTTTGTTCAATGTTTTTTAATTTAGCATTAGCCTTAAACCTGGTCAGAAGATAGAAACAATTGGATAAAGACTTGATTTAAGCCAAATTAGCCAAAAGCAGATGATTTTTTCTATACAAAGCTCCAGGTTCCCAATTATCTGTCTTTCTGCTGACTAGAAACTCTTTCATTACTATGGCACATGTCTTTTTGTGGCCATCCTATTCTTCAAGTATAATAAAAAATCTCCTATTTCAGTGTTTCTTTTACAGAAGGCCTCCAGATATAGAAGTGAGGAAATAGTAGTTAAAATTGTGGTAGAGTTGCCTCTTCCCCTGAGTATACTTTCACCAGTTAAATGATGCTGGATTTAAATTATCCAACTGATTGGGAAAAACAGCCCCATATTTTTTGAGGTTACTGTAAGAAATATAGAGCATAATCTACTGATTACAGTGGATTACCACTTCTCTGCATCCTTAATTTGATTATGGTAATCATAATGCAGCTGTGTGATCATCTTTTCCGTCAAAGAAGAGGGAAGTGCAGAATAGCAATCTACAGTTGAAAAAGAGAGACCAACTTTTGTTTTCTATGAGTAAAATATTAAAAAAGTAGGAATTACTTCTGACCTTTAGCCTGCGATCCTGGTCTCCACTGCACAGAGAATTTACAGACACTTTAAAGGTCTTCCATGCTGGATTTAAGTTATTCATCACAACCTGTAAGTGAAAAGAAGAAAGAGAACCCTTAACATTTCCACATCTCAGCAGAATGCTAACAAGAGCCACAATTCTCAATACAGTACATTCACCAGCAAGAGAAGAAAGCAGAGCTCAGCTGGAGTTTTCAGAACTACATCCAATGAGATATGAGTCCTTGAGCAACTGGCAGTTTCTAACACTCTTCGTCTGCAAAGCCCCCAAAAGGAGCAGGAGTGGGAAATGTACCCATACACACCCGCAGATGATGCTACAGACATTGCTCCAGCACTGCCACGCCTCAGTGGGAGATAATTGACAAGGGAAAGAGTGCAGAACTGAACTGGAAGCAATGGAAGACATGCAGGACTGGGCAATGGGGGTGGACAAGATCAATTTACAGGCACATTGTTTGCCTTGCTAGGAAAACTCTGTAGACTCCATAACAGGTTTATAACCCCTAACATCTGCCACAGCTCCACCCTATACATCTCAATGCTGTTTTTTTAAGACAGTGCCAGTCATTACCATGGAGCAGTAATGCCACTGGGTGATAAGAAACAAATGTTAAGCACCCAGATTATAATCCCTGAGAGGATGTGGGGAAGAAGTAACATAGTATTAATGGGAAAATATTATACAGTGTGTAGCTGGGTTTGGGGTAAATCTAGTATTTCTATCTCCTGACCTTCCAACAAAATATCTGCCAGTTTAATTAGGTTTGGACTTTGGCTTCATCTTCCTTTACTGTAAGGTGCATAAGTCAAGACCTGATACCCATTAGTTAATGACAGTAGAGTGTAACACTAGGAAGTGTTTTTAAATGTGTTTGCACACCTACATTTAAAACCAATTCCCTTTGTGACATGGGAAACATAAACTACGCCTCCTAACAACCCATCTGTGTCCTTGGAATGTGAATTCAACTCTATTCCTTACCTCAGTCCTGTGAACAAGTTGTTGGGTTGCATCATCATTCACCCGAAAAATCTCCAGAAAAGGATCAGATTTGCTGAAAAAATCCTAAAATAAAATATAGGACAAGTTACTCTTGAGGCTTCTATTTCTTTGAGCTTTTCAGGCACTGGGTTCTTCCCTGACTGCTAATGAAAAGGAAGAGTAGTTTTAGTGAGACCTCTTGGTGTTTCTCAGCAATACTTCTTTCTTGTCCTTGTCTCACAAGGATTCCCCCATGGTACTGTTGTTGTTCTCAGTTTGACTATTTAATCATGGCATGCAAAACTGTAAAATGTCATTTTACAATCTCTTTCCTTCTCTACTCCCAGCCCAGTTTTCTGAGTATTAGCTCTGTCATCAACCTAGCTTGTTTTTTTTTGTCTCCACACCTGTTTGATCTTTTGCCACCAGTTTTCTAATGCATTGCACTTTGAAGCATATTCCACACTGGGGCTGCATTTCACACTTTTCACCTACCCTCTCAAAACAGAAGTTAATTGGCCAAGACATTGTGCTGCTACCAACTAACACAAGTCTGTCACAATGGATTAGTGGTGGTTAGAGAAGCAAGTCCTCTTCAGGATGTGGTAACATGACCCATGCTAATATGACAAACAGAGCAGTGTAATGCGGGAAATAACTCGATATCTCTAGGCAAATCTGTGACAGACACCAAGGTTCACATTCACACACTGCAGAACACCTTCTCCTAGTCTTGTATCCAGCTAACAACACTGAACTTTCTTACACAAACCTAAATAAAGTTACTTTTTATAGTGCTGCTTCACTGTGGTTACAGGATCTCTTGTTTCAACATCTCATTCATTCTGGACATGCTGGCTGTGCGGGAGAAGAGTAACTGGCTGCTAACCCAGGAAGGAGAAACTTTCAAATTTCTAACTGTGCCATGTTGAAATAGTAGGATTTAAAAGTCAATTTCCTATAGTTTCAAGTCCCTTCTTAATTTTCTTCTTCCAAAGACCCACATGATTAACTTTGTGCATATGAATATTATTCATCTGTGCAGGACATATCCAAAACCACAGACCCTCACATCAGTTTGGGGAAGTGTTCAGTATTGTTCAGTACCCAAGTGTTTCTATGATAGTGTAAAAATTACTCCAATATATATAATTCTACTAGTTTCTCCTCACCAAATGTCCACCATAACTATTTTTGATTAACTGCAAGGCCATTGGTTTGGGAACAACTTTGGATAAGATGCTAGCCATAGTCTGGGCTTGGTAAAATTTATTATTAGGGCATTTTTACAATTCCATTGTAAAATCTGAACATTTTATGTTCAAAACAAACAAAGAATTCATGGCTTTGAAAGGGGACACCTGAATTTGAATGTCTGAAGAAGAAAATGGACCACATGTCCCTATGGACCACAAAGCCATGAGCAAGGCTCAAGGAACCTAAAGTCTTGTCATCCCCTAAAAATGACATAATGTTGTGTTGAGAGCACTGTTTAGTCATTGATCTGCTTCTTCATTTTCTAGAGAAAACTTAGTGGCCCATTTAAGAGCTGATGCAAAGCACATGAAGATTTATTCATCAAATCCTTTCATGGCAAGCATGGAACAACAAAGCTATATGTTAGGCTATTTGTTCCAGCTACATGGTCAACAGGACATTTTATGTCAAACTCTGTAAAACCAGCGCAAAATTCACCTAAGTAACTCTAGAGTTTGCCTCAAGGCCCTGATGTAGATTTAGTACCTGGACACCACTCAAAATTTGAAACTTCTAGGATATGGGGGATTTTGGTGATCAAATTCTGCCAGATTGACAGTGTATAGCAAAGAGAACAAGCAGAGAGGGAGGGTGCTGGTTTAATCATGATGACACAAAAATCCAGAGTGCATAGGGTTAAAAAAGATTGAGCTGCCTCTCCTCACACATAAGCGTTCTGATTGAAGCTGGGTAAAAAGCTTAATGTTCAGAGTTTCTTTATCAAACACAAATTTGATAAGTTATTTGAAAGGAAGTACCTCAAAATGATACATCCAAAGAACGTACGTATCCTGGTGTGCAAGAGCATACAGAAAGGAAGCCAAGATTTCATTTAAGGCTCAAAATACAGTATTGCTCCTAGCTGAGTATCATAAAGGTACAACACCACGTCAGCACAAAGGAAATAATTTCTGGTTTAGCTACAAAGATAATACCACATAAAAGGAAAGATTTTAATGCTGGATGGTTGTTTATATTACTCCCCCACCAATGCAAAAACAAGACCTCATTACTCTCAGAATTGAGGTATGAACAAAAAAAAAATCCTTCTGTATTGGAAGTGCTTTGTAATAAGTAGAAATGATAAGCTGAAGAAACGTTTGCTTTCACAATTAACTTTTTTTGGTTGTTATGCTGAATCTAATAGCTTTGCATTATCCCCCAAGAATATCTCTGAAAGAAGAATAGCTGCAATATATTGTGTTAGTTTAATAATATTAAATGATTAATGTAATACATTTGCTGGTGGTATAATGCACATTGTTCTTTCAGTATGTGTAGCAGTTATACAGTAATAACACAAGTACATAGCCTTGACTTAAAAAATTTAGATACATCTGTTTCTAAGCACCTAGTTTGACACATTTTTAGTAGATTAATTTTCAGAGCCCAACAATTTTTAAAATTCAGGATTGGGGATCAAGTCAAAGGTCTCTTAAAAAAGGGCTTAAGCAGCAAGAAGATTAAAATTTTGAATACTATTCAACAGGGCATTTGATGAGGTTTTTTTTGGTAGTAGTTTAATAGCAGGGAACTATATAAAAAAAAGCAATATTAGCTCATATTTTGCAGATATTTGCTGGATAATCTTTCCCAAACAATGGTAACTGCTTCTCTCAGAACAGGAGAAGCAGCTTGCCTGCCCCAGTGCTCATAATTTATTATAGCGATCATAAAAAATGTAGCTGCTTGTTATGGTAATTGTGACACAGCTATTAATGCAATAAAACCTTTCCAAAAGTTATTGTTCCACAGTGAAGTGTTCTCAGTGGATCTCTTGAAACAAAGATGTGCCATTTGAGCTGACAGGGCTTCAATAAAACATGAAAAAGCAGTTATACCTTCCAAATAAGAACTGTAATAAAAAAATATAACCTTTATTTCTGCTAAAGTCAGTTAACTAAAGGAAACTTTCATATCCATAATTTTTCCTATAATTTTTCACTGAATGTTTCAGCCACTCCAGTAAGAAAAAATTATTAGGCCTTGTTCTGTAGCTTCTCTAAAATTCTTGCAGTTTTACATCAGGAGAGTAAAAAACATGCAACAAATATATCCTGCCTGTTAAATCTTATCAACAAATTTTCTTTAATTTTCCAAAAATGTGTTGTTCAAGTATTTTTCCTTCATGTAGGAAATACATACAGAGGCTTCCTCTGTTTTTCAGGAGACTCCAAAGCCAGTTTCAACCCTCAGTTTGTTTCTCTGACATTACATCTCTACTCAAATGTTCACTTCTCTGAGTGGGGAGAGGCATGCAAAACCCTGCTTAGGATTTTACAAAATCAGCTCGTTTCAATTCTTTATGTTTATTTCCCTTTTTGTGACATCAGAGCACTCATTCTTTTTCACCAATGGCTGAACTGTGAAATTTAAATAATTTCAAACCTTAATAAAAATAATTACCAATAGTTCCTTGCATCTAATGATGTCAAAATTCATTATAAGCTGTACATTTTTCTTATAGAGGAAGTAAATCAAGTTTCAGCCAAGTATTGAGCTACATCTTTAGCTGGAGGAAATTGAAAGACTTCTTTCAATGTGATAGATTTCCAGAGATTTTCATCAGTTGAAGACAGGACTTTGGATTCAGATAAGACATGGTGAGTCACTGCTTGACTTGCACACTGCATCATCCAAGAATTCTTTATTAGATGAAGCCCACCTTGACTGGACATTTAAAATTGCAAGAATGACAACACTGTTGCAATATTTCAGAGTGATCCTTCTCACCTTATCCCCATAAAGTGTTTCAATCACTCTCTAAAACTGTTGCTCAGACAACACTGACCTGGCTCAGAATTACAGTCTGGCAAGTATCCTTTTAATTTATACCAACAAGAACTAGAAGCAATCATAATATTAAAGCAGGTTACATTTTGCATTTGTGGAAAGCAATAACTAAGTGGAGTCCTACTAAGTTGTTTGTGTCCTTTCCTTTTCCCTTGATGTGACATTAAGTACAAACTTTTGTACAAGTTTGGGAATTACCTCTAAAGATATCTGTCTAAAGAAAGGTTGTTAAATTTACATTTTGACACCTAAATAAATTATGCAACTCAAAACCACTCAGACTCCAGCAACTCTGAAAGAGGAAAGTAATTTATCTTTCAGATGAGAAGCAAATTCAGGTCCTAATCATTTATGATTGTTAATGATCCTGAGCACAGTAAAATTTTATAAATTTTATAAAGTTTATTTTAAAGCTATATGCCAGAACTATTAATCTTTTTGTGTACTTTCTGCTTGCCTGAGATTTTCTGGTAGTTTCAACTGAAAATATTTTTCATAAGTTACAACCCGATTTTGAAAACCTGATGTATATGTATCCAAAAGTAGTCTCACTGATTTGATTTTAAGCTACTCTCATGTCAGATGTTTACAAGAACACACTTGGGGCATCACCATCCTAAAGCTTTTTACAGTTCTGCCATATGTTTCTAATTATAAGCACCTTCCTAAATAAGAAAGGACCATACACCTCAAAGCATCCTATGGCTGCTATTACACTGAAATGACAGAGAGTAGTACAAACAGACATCAGGTTTTCTTGGGCTGTGTGTTGAGATGCTTATCATATGTAAACTGCTAAACAATAACAGATATTTTCAGAAAGAGGTATTCCTTATAATGTTGAGTAGTGTTTGAGTCAGTGGAAAGTTTTTTTCCTATAGAGGGAAAAGGTTTTTAACAAATATGCAAGTCTTTTTCTCACATTCAAGCTATGTTTTGTTGCACAAAATGTGTATCATGACTGAACTGTTATGAAGTTTTTTAGCTGCATTTTAGGAAACTTCAATGATAACATCATTGACTACTCACAGAAAGTTCACTTCTCTAAACACTTCTGATGTGTGGCATTTTACATAATTAAATTGTCTTGGTTGTAGTGTAATTAACTTGTCTTGATTTTAATTAGATTTCCTTAATTTTTTTTTTTAATTACTTGCAACCCGAGGAAAGCCTCATTGTGAACATCCATCTGAAAACCCTGATGTGTTTAATAACACAAGGTAAAAAAAATATCTGTCATGGAAGATCTCATCAAATTATATTTGCAGGCATTCTTATATCTTTCAGAAAGGTTAATATCAAGCAGCTTACCTTGTCATCCAATTTCCGTGCACTGAATGAAAGTTCAACGTAGTCATCGTTGCCAGACAATTCCTCAGCGATCACCTAAATGGAAAGCTACATTTGAGTTGTGCATGGTGTAATGGAAGGGAAGAACTATGCCATTTTTCAGTGTGTGAAGACTGCAGACCCCGCTTAGGAAACTGAAGTGTGGAACAAGTTAATGTGTTTCTCTTTGCCGTCAGGCAGGCCATCACCTTGGTCAGCCCACAAACCTGAATCACTTTGTGTTATGCAACTATGCCTGTCAAAGGGCAGACACCCACATCCACCAGGGATCCCTTTCCTCTGACCAAGTGCTCCTCCTCAGAGTGGAAAACAGAATTCCACAATCTCACAGTATCCAAGAGGACAAAAATGCTCTACAAGGGTTGTATTACTCAGGTCTAAAGACCAATTATTTTTATGCCACTTCAGCATCATTTGGCAAGATAAATGAAAAAAGGAGTGAAGTCACCTGGCATTAGCTGCTGTGAAAGATACATTTACAGCAGGAGACCTCTCCTGAAATAGCTTTTCTGCAATAGCCACATTGGCAAAACAATTTACCATGGATGGAGTCAGAAGCAAGTAATCCTAAAATAATATTGTGTGATTCTTTTAGATGATGTAGGCTACATCAGTAATGATGCCAGTCACTGTGCTGTGCAACGTTATAAAAAAACCAACTAAACCAGCTTCCTAAGTAAGCCATTAAAATACCTCATATCTGTGCTATGATGCCCGACGTCTGGGAAGAATGATGAACTCCATGATATCAGAAACTCCATGATATCAGAACTCCATGATATCAGAAAGCTAATTAATTAATTTATCATACTATATTATACTATAACTATACTACAAAGAATACTTACTTCTAACTGAAAAACTTGTGACTGTCTACAGACCAAGCAGTTTACAGCTTGGACCTGATAGGATAATTAACATAAACAATTCCACCAGAATCCAATCAAGAAATCACCTTGGGTAAACAATCTCCAGAATACATTCCACATGAGCACAAACACAGGAGCAGCAAATGAGATAAGAATTGTTTTGATCATTCTTTTCACTGCTTCTCTCACAGTTTCTCTCTGTTCAGAGGTCATGTGAATACCACAGCCTCAGGGGAAGAAGGCACTAACCAAACCTGGCATATTTCACAGAAAAATATTCTTTGAAAACAAACCACATTATATTCTATTTGACAGCTTTAAAAATTTTTCCCCATTGTAAATGTTCTCCCCGTGGATTAAATCTCCCAAAAGAACCTATTTCCTGGGTGTTCCATGTTCATGACCACACACATGGCAGCCATGCCAGCTTCCCAGATAGGCTCTGGTGTCTCCATCACTTGAAGTCCTTGAGGAGCTGCTGGGAAAACCCAAAAATTTGCCAAACTGGCTTGACAGCAGCTACTGACTGCACCCCAAAACATCAACCCATCAGAGGTGCATATTGGGTGCCATATGCATCTTGTAAACCTATGTCAGAAAGGGCAGCAGCTGCCAGAGGCAATGACACCCTAAAGAAGATCCAGGGGGAGGCATGGAGAAGGCCATGCTGTGGGGACACAGCTGGAGATTCACTCTCAGAAGGAAGTGCTCCGTGCTGGAGGAGGCACCTCTGTGTACACCCTCAGGTAAGACTCATTCTGGAGCAGAGATTCCCCTGAAGGGTGTATGTAAGTCCAGAGCAGAACTAAGAAAGAAACCTCAAAGAGCAGCAAAAACATCACTATTTTTTGATCCTGACCTGTGTCACACAACACCTCATCAAAGGGACTGAGCACAACATGAAATGAAGGCAAAGGGAGTGAAGACTATGAAGGAGGCAGGAGAGGTGTCAGAAGTGGAGTACAGGAGAGGGGCAGAAAAAGTATTTTCTCTAAGAGTTTTTTTTTTTTCCTATTTGTTTCTCAGTAGTTAAAAGTTTACTTTGATTGGCAATTCATTAAATTAAATAAAATTCCCTGAGTTGAGACTATTCTGGCTGTGACACCTCCCAGAGTGAGATGTGGTGTTTCTCCAAATAAAATATTCACATGTAGCCAGACAGGGGCACAGATGTTTAACTGGGCATTAAAGTACCATCAAATAGGCACAGATGTGGTGTGTCACATCTTCCAGGCAAACATCAGCTTGCTGATGAAATTTGACCCATGGAGTCTGACACATTTCTCTTTCACGTAGTCTGATGGTTTACAAGATCTGGTTAAGCTGTGTGTGACCAACAGTGCTCTGGGATTTGCACACCAAATTTCACAAGTATTTTAACTGAAAAGAATGAACCTGCTCTTGTAAAGGTTTACAGACTTGCAGCTGGAGAAGCAGAAAAATGTTCTGTTTGCTTCCCACAGCCATATTATAAAATTGTGTGGAGACATTACACAGTCAAAAGGCTAATAAATTCCAGCAAAACTTGCTAAGAGAGGAACTTTCAAAATACTATGACAAACTCACAACTCACTACACTGAATGAGTTAGGAAACTAGTATTTCTTACTTCCATATTTTACAGACACCTGGTATGTCCCTAGGTCCAGAAATAATGATCATTAATCAGTTTTTAACTATTCTGTTGAAACAAAAAACTTTTCACACAGTATTTCTTTCTCTGGGTTCAGTTTTCTCCCGTTCAAGTCAACTTGCTCTTTAGAACTGCTGGACAGAAGCCAAAACACGTAAATAAGGTCCATATTTCATGGTTATCATCCAGTGTGAGGCCAGCAGGGACTATTAACTCATTTTCTCTCATCTTCTGTTTATCACAGTGATTTAATTTTTGCCAGAACACCCCCCTAACAAGCCTAATAATTTTAGTTGTAATACAGTATTTGTGTTTTCACAAGACTAAACTACTTTGTGTTCCTCAAAGAAGAACAGAAGGGAGGTCCAGAACACCACAGGGATGGGTGAGATGAAGTATGCCCAGATCATCCCAGCAGGCAAACCATATGAAGTTATTTAGGGAGCAAAACTCTCTCCTGGTTCTATTCAGCCAGATGAGTGGGGAACTCCTTTCCAACCCCAGACCAAAACCAAGTTTATTGTATGCATTTAAGCAAATCAATGCCCAGCCAAGCATAAAGGAAGACATCTAAGAAATCAAACTCCCTGGGCTCTCAAGAAACTACCTCAGAATCTGCTGTCTCTTTTGCGGCTGAAGGCAGAAAAAAAAATACAAACAATCAAGCCAGAAGAAAACCATCTGGCAAATCACACATTAAGGAAAAAAATCCTTCTCAATCTGATGAGGCAACAGAGCAGATACCCCCAAAGCAAAGTATTATTATAGCCTTAATGCAGAGCTGCAAAAGTCACAAGCAGACAAGATTGATCTCCCAAGCAAGCCAGCATAGAGAAAGATGAAAGGGAGTTAATGTTCAAGATACACATGGGGTTATGACAACCCAGTCCTTAGTTGCATTACAACACATCTAAAACTCATCTCATCAAACTTTTTATTTTTACCTGAGAAATTGGAAAAAGCCCAAGGGAAAAGAAAGATGAGGTTCCTTTACATGTCAAAGCAGGTATAAATTAATTTCTGAAGGTTCTAGTCATTGAACTAAAAGTATTCAAACAGCAGAAGTTACTTGCTGTCATCCAAGTACCCTAAAAGTAGTTAATAGTAAGTATTGTGTCTTTTTTACAAATCATACATTATTTGTTGCCATTTCCTTAAAATAAGCATTTGTCAGAAACAGTGCAAATCATCAAATAAACAATTTAAATACATTTCTCAATCAAGGGTTGTTCTGGTGGCTTAGCAGGATGCTTTTAGAGAGAATTAGTCACTTTAGATATTTCTAAATAACAGGAAAACAAAAGCATATTTAAGACTGACTTACTGTTATAGATGACTTTCCTGCTGTGTTGCCATGTTTGAGTAAGGACTTGGAGAGCTTCCTCTGAGAAACAATCTGCAGGAAAATAAAAACAAAGGAAAAAATAATTAGAATCTGTAGTAAATACATGGTTTATTGTTATTTCAGTTTTATATTGCTTTCTTTCTGTTTTTTTGTGGGTTTTTTTTTCCTTTTGTATCAAGGTATTTTCTCAATCTATGATCAGAGTTAACACAGTAAGACCACAACCAACAAAAAAGGTCCCCAGGAAGCCTGCACAGGATTCAATGGAAGGACAAAAAAAAGCATTTGGGGTCAAGCAGAATGGGGAGAACACAATTCACTGCATTGAACAGAATAATGAGAAACACATAGATTTTCCTCAAGTATTGCAGTGACGGTGACAGAGGACAGAAGTAAGGTTTAACTGGTCTAAAAAGACCGTAAGAAGGGAGCTGTAAACAGCAAATCTACCAGAGATAGCCCCAAAACTCAACTCAGTAATTTTTATTGCCAACTGAAGTCCATTTAAAATGAGAAAGAATTTATTTTACCTAAAAATATCAGCAATTCTAAATTCAGGGCAAAAGCAAGCAAGCTATCCCGTATTTCAGATCCAAAATTGTCTCCTTTGCTTACCAGACCTCCCCTAGAACTCAACATTATAAATGAACTTGGTCATTAACCAAATTGTAAATACACTTCAAATAAATGGCATCAGAGGGACACTGACACTGATATGGCTCTGCCATATCAACAATAACTAGCATCCCCTTACAATTTTGAAACACTTAAAACCAGACAAGTAAAAGTATTAGAAAAGGAAGAAACCTTACAATAATGCAGAACTGCCAAGCTACAGTGATGTTCCAGTGTATTACTCACTAGTAAAGCTAATGCTAAATCAATTTATTTATTTAATAAGTGGAAAACTTCAAAATGTAGACAGATGTAAAGGTAATTCAAAACACTTCTTATAAGTCACAGTATTATTTGTGATCTGACAAAACTGTAGTACAGCTGTGCTGTGCAGATAGTGAGCAAAAGATTGTATCTTGAGAAAAACCTTAACTTCTTGAATGTGGCTTTTATTCTAGAAATAGTCCTTTCCACCTTTCCCCATCCAACAGTACATGGACAACTTCTTCCAGACAGCTGATCTAAATGTTCCACAAATAGACATCATTGGCAAATATGCCAAAATATTAGTTGCAAAAGAAAGGCAGTCACCAAGTGAAAAGGAAAATTCCAGACCCTCCATGAGAGTCCTGGAATCATACAAACGTCAGCAATAAACCACAAAAGTAGGTAACGGCCAGAGCTGAAATGTTCTGAGTAATGCAAAGTCGCAGCCAGACAAAAAATGTGCTGTGAGACAGGAGTGAATAGCCTGCACATTTTAACTTAACATCAGTGGGGGGGAAACATGTTTGTACAGCCCATCAATTTGCTGAATTGAACTGAAAATCAAAAGCTGTACCTCAGATTATCCTCAGCTACAGTTGTAATAGAAGAAGCAAGACAGAAGCAAGTTTTAAACAGGCTTTAAATGTGAGATGGGAGAACCGCCAAATGACAGAACAGCACATCTGGAATCACTGTGACCAGCTTCTTGTTCCTATTGCAGCTATACCTGACAGGGGTGTGTCTTACCAGTTCTTAAAGAACTTAAAGGGAAAAACTCTTCTCTGGAAATTTATGGTATTCATTATCCTTATGTAAATATATTTTCCTAACAGCTAATCTGATTCTATGCAGTTTAAGTCTATTATTTTTATTCTCTGCAGTTTAAGTTGATTATTTCTATAAAATGCACCGTGAATAGGTAAAACAATCCTTTCCCCCTTTTCCTTGTATTCCTGTGCAATCCTTGTATTTGAAGACTATTACCAACTCCCTACAGTGTTCTTTATTACATAACCTGAGTTTGTCTTATCTTTCCTTCTTGACCAAGTTTCCTAGCTCTCAAACCATTCTCTCTACTCTCTGATGATCCTTCATGGACTGGCTCATAAACACTCTTAGAATAATGCTCAAAATTTGGCATAATAGCTCTGGTCCTTCCCCTGAGAAGCAAGAAGAGCTTCGCATTGCAAGGCTGATACACTGCAGAATTACATTTGCCTTATTTTAAGAACACCATGATACTGTTAACTAATGCTCATAATAGGACCATTTCAGATTGCCAGCTGCAGTTTTGCAGCTGGCTATTACTTAAATGAATAATTTAACACTCCTTTTAGGACTGCCTTCCATAACATTGTCTGTTGCCATCATCTCACTCAATTTTCCAAACTAACTTTTGAATTTCAGCTCTAGTGTTGGTCAGTAGCAACAGCACACAGGACTACAAGTAAGATGACAATATTACTAGCAGCTCTTTTTCTTCCTTAGAATCTCAGAAATACTGTTTGCAGTGATCTTTTAAGTCATCCCTACATTTGTCTTCTTGCTAGCTAAACAGGTTCAAGTACAAATCATTGCGCTCCTGTGAACTGTGAGGTGCAATTCAAAAAATCTTGTTTGAGATTCTCATACAGGAGGTAATACAGAAATATGACAGATTATTCTTAAAATATAATTAAACTATGGGATCTGTACCAGCCAGATAATGAATTATGGCAGCTGATGAGCAGAGCCCATTTATCTCCATGGCCAAAGATGCTCAGGCAACTTTGTAAAATACATTAACCTTTTCCACTGAAAGCTGTGAGTATTGTCCACCAGAAACCTTTTCAGACTTCTTACACATACATAGCCATGGTATGAGATAGAACTTGGGTGGGAACCTGTCCTAGAGTAGCCTCTTTAGAGGCAGCAGGACTTCTTCCCTTCAGTCACCCAAACTTTTCTAGCTCCCTTTGCTGCTTTCTAAAGGGTCACAGCTTTCACGAGGCATTGCACAGCTTAGGAGCTCCTGCGCAGGTGGCAGATAGACATCTCTAAGTTCCAGAAAGGATAATTTATTCTGACATGCTCATTAGTAGGCTGCATTAATGACACTCACTCTCAAAGCCAGAAGCATCGTTCTGACACAGTAAGCACTCTGCATATGTAAATATGTGTATTTGGGTGCAAGTGTTTACCAGTTGTTAATTAAGTGGCCACTAAAACCAATCCTCCATCTGGCAACAATGTGCCAACGTCATTGCCTTAAATTGTAATTGTAATTGCAATAACCGTAAAGGAGTCTGTTTTCCATAGCAGTAATTTGACTTTTTTCTTCATGCACTGTACAAAATAGGTCTCACTGGTTTAAAGAACTACTTCTATGGAACCTGCCATCAATTACCTATCATATTTTTGTTATTGTCTCAATGCAAATCTTCTTCTGAACATTATTATATGAAGCATTTGCTGACCTGATTTTCAGACAGCAAGTCCTAAACAATGATAACTTGAGGGACTAGCACGCATTAGTCTTAGTTCAGAGTTACAGAGACAGCTGAGCTGGCAAAATGTCTTACAAGAAGGTAATTGACTACAGGTCTTTCATTTGTCAGGAGTCTTTGGCTTGACTCCGACTTCAAAACCTTGCAATTTAAAACTTCTGCTTCAGAGAAAAAAAGGGTTTTTCCAAAACTGATGTGAAGAACTGCAGAAAGTAAATGTCTCTCTTCTTTCTAGAACACAAATAACAGAACACAGTTCAGCCCTAGAAAACCTCATTACATTTCAAGAACATGTATTTTTACAAACATTTTATTAGAAGCATGACCTACCAGTCAGCAAATGGATGTAGAAAACCATCCTTGTTCACACCGGAATAGAGTTAATTTTTTTCTTAGTAGCTGGTACTTAATGCTGTGTTTCAGATTTAGCATGAGAATAATGCTGGTGACACCCTGATCTTGTGGTTGTTACTAAGTAGCGCTTACTCCATATCAAGGACATTTCAGTTTCCCATGCTCTGCCAGAGAGGAAGTGCACAAAAAGCAAGGAGGGAAGATGGCCAGGATGGCTGACTGAACTAGCAAAAAAGATATTTCATAGCATAGACTGCCATGCTCAGTATATAAACTGGGGAGAGTTGGCTGAGAGCTGCTGATTGCTGCTCGGAGCTGGGCTGGGCATCTGTCAACAGGTGGAAGTGATTGTACTATGCATCACTTCTTTCTCTTGGGTTTCATTTTATTCTTTCTCTCTCCTTTTCATTACAGCTGTTGTTATAATAACAATAACAATTTTTAAAAAAATTATTAAACTGTTTTTATCTCAAGCCATGAAGTTAACCGTTTCTTTCTGATTCTCCTCCCCACTGTGGCAGACACAGGGCAAACGGGGTGTAAGCAAGAAGCTGCATGGTGCTTTAGTTGCCAGCTGGGGTTCAACAACAACAACCCTTTTTAGTGCTCATTGGGGGGGTTCATTCAAGGGTCACACCTCAGAGGTATAAAAGGTGAGACTTAGAGAAGTGAAGTCAAGTTCATTTTCAGCTACATACAAACTATTACCCAGTTGTGGCCTAAGAGCACCACATGTCCAGTAAAAATGTCATACTAATATGTTTGCACAAGGTAGAAATAAGAATGTAAAAGCCACTGCTCTGTTTCTGAGAGGGAGCATATGCACATAAAGTTACTCCTATTTAACAGATATTCAATCATCTCAAGAGAACATCATCTCAGCTAGATTTCTGGTCTGAAGTGATAAGGGATGTCAGCCCTGTGGTAAGATGGGAGTGAGAAATTCCCTTGAAGATGATCTTTTCCTTATTACATACAAGCCCTTATAGGTTAAGAATAAATGCTCAATATTGTTGTAGAGAAATCTGGACTTATATCTGCATTTGATCCTATTTCCAATATAAAATAGCTAAAAGAGGCTTTGCACTTTTTTTTTCTTCATTATTTTAAAAGTATGAACAGATGCAAGACTCCAGATAAAAGCACCAAGGCGCTGACACCAGCTGTGTACCAAGCATTGCTCAGCAATCACTCAGAGACAAGGACTCTGATGAAGGTTTCCTCTCTTTCCTCTCTCCTGTGCCTGAGTCGTGACTAATCAGCACTGTGTAAGATGAGCTGTGAAATATAATGACTTGTTTTACCTGGCTTGTTTAAGAAACTTTTAAA